GTWTRMSTMMTGCTSYTYSWRAWKMAMKYRTAGCGTTTTTTTTACTAGTAAGTGCGTCGTTAATTGAGCCTGCGCGCATTTCATCTGCACCTKAATTATACTCGATTCATTGCACTGCACGTGAGAATTGTAGTCTAAAAAAACTCGAGGTGGCAATAGACGCTAACCTTTCATAAACCATAGATTCAAGTGAATTTACAGAGCCAATTGTAATGATGTCTTCTCCAAAATCTCCGAAGACTCCACCAACACCATCAACTCCTAGTTCCCCAAGGATGTCACCTGGGAAGTTGAAGATCTTCTTTCAAGATTTCCACAGGGATTCCCGCCAAAAGCTAAGTAAAGTGTTTGGTGGCTGTACTTATCGACGTAAGCGAAGCGATCACGAAGCTACTCCTATATTACTAGATTTAGCTGACAATGAAGCAAAAGACATCAACTACGGCGCAACAGTAGGGAACGTCAATGAAGTTTGTGAAACTGCAGCTCCAGAAAGTGTTACAAGAACAACACGAAGTGGTCTCGTTGTACATTTTAGTCCATAACATGCGTACCAAAGCAACACGATTTGGAACAATAAACTGAAACTATTGTATTTGATGGAGATTGTACAGGAATCAAAATGCTTTACTAAAATATGAGAACTCCTGGTGTGACGTCATTTACTTATACTATGATGTCATAGATTAAAATATATCTCGTTGAAATATGCAACTTGCATTTGTGAGATTTTATTTAACTTGTTGGCTGGCAACTTTTAACAAATCATCAGCAAAAATCAATGAATACTCCAATTGACGTGCTATCATTGTTATGTCATAGGTATTCAAATGTTAGGGACTGATCATAATTTATATGGGGAGGGGGAGAGGGGAGAGGGGGGGCAAGCATAAATTTCCAAACGAATCAGGGTGGGGCAAACAAAAATATTTCAGGGGAGCCGAATGCCAGCCTGACCCAACTCAGTGCAATTCTAATCTGTAGGTTCTAGTCAGGGCCCAACCTAACCTACTTTGACCCTATTATAACACTTATCCAACACTTAACACTTAAAGTGTTAAGTGTTGGATAAGTGTTATAATAGGGTCAAAGTAGGTTAGATAATTTATCTAACACTTATCCAATCCTAACGCAACCCTTTCGAGTAACCTACTTATCAACATAAAGAGAATGGAATTAGGAAAAGCAARTAAATCACCAAATTAGAGTAAGACCACTGATAAGATGCTCTATTTACGTTAATTGAAAAACTGCAGTCAGAAGAGTCAAAGTCTTTTCATATATTTTTATTTTGTCATCATTGCTTCAAAAACCAGGATAAAAGTGCCTTTAAAAAAAGTGGGTTAAAGTCTGCAACCTTCTTGTATCAGCAGTTATGATCATGATAATAAAGAATCTATTCAACAACTGCAGAGTTTTACATCAAAATCGTAAGCTATTCTAAAGAAGGTAGTCAGTCAGATTGGAGAATTCATAAATGATGAACATAATTAACAGTGCTTGATTTGTTTCAGTACCATCTTGAAACTTGTGAAATGACGAAATCCACTGTATACTAAAAGGCTTATCTTCAGTCAATGTTTATTTGAACCTGCTGCAGCTTTTTGTTGTTGTTCAGTTGGCTCTATGAACAGTTTAATGTGACTGTATGTCACTGTATATTAACATCAAAAGGGCTAAATGAACTTGAACATATGTATATTGAATCTGCTGTTCTTGCCACAACTGCTAGTAGACATAGTTCAGCATGAAGGCATATGTCTGTCAAAATAAGATGAAAATTAATAAGTCTTAAAGTACAACAGTAAGTGAAGTAATAGACTCCATTAATTAAAAAAAAGGGAAAATGGAAAACAACATACCTTTCAAAGGATTGGTTAGCCTGTGTAAGCTTGAACCGTATGAGGAAAGTCACGATCAACTCTGCTACCTGAAGAAACCAAAGGACATCAAGCTTACCATTAAATAGAGGGACARACCCTGGAGATGTTTTGTGCAAGATATTCTAGACTTATAGAGATAGAAGATTGGCCAAATGTTGCAATTTCGATAATTYTGAGTGGGTGGTATGGAAGGGTAGGAGGGTGACAGTATTTTACCTGATCTGGTGCATCTTCATGGACACAGTGACCACATCTAGTAAGAACCTGCATTTCAAACTTTCCTATTTCAAGAATAATGCAACACATTCAATTAGCATTTTATTGATGGTATGCTAACAACCTGTAATGCACCTGTGAAAACCATATTTTTTAGATAATATTTGCATTGTTTGCATACCTTGCATTTGACCTATGGTTAATTCTCTGTCCAAWCGATCAATCCCTAAAAGATACAATAAATATCCATGCACTAGTGTTAGTCATACTGCCTTCCATTCAGCAGCAAAATCTTCATTTGGCATTAAAAATCCTTTCTGAAAAATCTATGTACATTCAAAAATATCATACCTGCAAGTACAAGAAGCTTTGGTGCTCGACATGATAAGAAAAGTTTGGACAGATTTACAAACCATCCTATAACAACACAAAGAAAAAAGGGGATTGTTATAGAATTCAAACATAGTCTGCACAGCAGGTATTCCACCTGAGGAGAGGAGAGCATGGAAGAATATTAGAGGTTAAAAAATATCAAAATTTAAATCGGAACAGCATTCTAGTATAGATGAAGGTAGCACTCTGCAATACTCCTTTGGGGTGGAAAATGCAAGTAGAAAGGACTGACTGGTTTTCATTTGACTAAATTTGCTATTGATTTGCCACATACCAAAAATACACTGTGAAGACCTTAAAAAACACTTATCAATAAGTCTAACCTTCCCAGAATTGCTCAGTTTTTGATAAATCTATTCTCCATCTCCAGCATTCAGACTTCTAAAAAATATATAATGATCATAAAAAGGTTTGTTTTCAAGTCACATCGGCCTTGACTGAGATATTTCATTATAATTATGAACWAATTCTGTCATTTGCATTGCAATATGRGACTGGTCAGCCCAGATATATGTCAGGAAATGAAACAAGCAATAGACTGAAATCAATCAAAACTGTTCAGTGAATATTTTAAAAACYAATGGCAGACCAAAAATCTCTTCATGTTTAGGCCYATTTAGACGGCACAACTTTTGCCTACAACCATCGCARGCAACCTGCATAAGTCATCCTTACAACATGGCTACAACTGTRGTGGGGATTTTAAACAATTGCTTAATAGCCTCATGACAGCTGTAGCTATGTTGTAAGGATGACTTAATCAGGTTGCAAGCGACAGTTGTAGGCAAAAGTTGTGCCGTCTAAATCAGCCTTTTGATTGACAGCTGTGTATTATTTATAAATTGTAATCATGTACTAAAGCAAATAACATTAAATAAGAGTTTGACCTCTTGTGAAGATGGACTACTACTACTGCTACTAGTTTCTTGTCTTTCTTTGGTAGACTCAGGTTTTTCTGCAGACAATTCYCGATTCTGCTCAGGATCATCACTTTCATCTTCTTCTTGAATTGCACCAATTACATTTGATGCTGAAGAAGGTTTGTCTGGCTTATTGCTTTCATCTTCACATCTTAATCACAAAATTTGGATTAATTATTATAAATATCAAAATTGTAACTTATTGTTGATTGGGTATCCATGTAGAGAATCAGATGGGAACTTGTTGTAGAATAGGCAAATGATGAAAATTAAGGAAATGTCTGATATTAATTTCTCACTTTTGTAGCTGTCCAACCATTGATATCCTTGCAGACTCTACATTATGAATTTGACCARTTCGTACACTAGATTTAATAAAAATAACAAATATGTGTTAGTAGATTTTGTACACACAGTAGATGCTTGCTTCCTGGCTCTTTACCAGTAAAGTAGCCCATACCTCCATTCTATGCCTTGTTCTAAAGATTTGAATGTCTTTGGTCGACCTTTTAAAAAGTTTTGCATTGAGGATAATGCATCCATTGCAGTTCCTACAAAAATAAAGAAAAAAATAATGACATTACATAGAATTTACTGGGTCAGATTTCTCATCAATTTAGGAGGATAAGACTTCCATCGGCTGGCCATTCATGCTGAATAAGGTGTATGAAGGTTGGAAACTAGAAACATATGCATAAACTACTTCATGTATTGTAAACAAATTAATGCTTTCTGGATTGTTTTCAAATAGACAATATGATATTCTGTTGTCTTGGTAGGACACCTAAATAAACAATTTTTCATCCACAGTATCTAAGAACACTGCGCAGTATCTGCCAACCAATAATTATCATGATATCAATACCTTCTACAACATCTATAACAGCRAGTCCTACTAGAGAAGGAAGCAGATTCTGAGCACCAACATGAACAGCAATGGCACCACCCATGCTGCAAAACAAATACATGACATTGAACTCTTGGCCTAAAGAAATGTACCATCTTTCCTTTAACATTGTTATTAAGCGATTAATACTGTTGAAATTCAACATTCACTCATATTATACAGTACCTGTGTCCTACTAGCAAGATTGGTGGTGGTGTTTCTCCATATATTGTCCTTACAAGATCTCCTACATCCCTAGATGTGAATAAATATAGTCATGAAAACACTTTGAGATTCTAAGACAATGTGACAATTGCTTTTGATTTAAGGYTCTATTATTGTGTAGACATCAGCAGAGAAGGAATTGACAACAGAATTAACCAATCAAATGATAGTTTATTCATGCTCAGTACAATCTTGAACTYAAGGCTGAAACATGATTGGCTAATTAATATCAAATCATTGAGTGGGTCTAGTGTCCTCAGTGGAACACTAGTGTTTGCTTGTTGAGATTCATACTTAGACAGTGTGTCAGCTGATAAATCTGCACAGTTTTGAGTATATGTATCACCTAAAACAAACACCAAGAAAAAATATTATTATTGGTACAATACAACACTTTTATCAAAATTAATCCTAGAACAGCCATGTAGCTTACCATGCCCACGCATATCAAATGCAAGAACTTGGCATGTACATAGTCTTGTTACAGCCTTGGTAAATACTGCCCATGAYAGAGCAGAGTGGCCACCACCATGCAGAAGGACCAATAATGGACCTTCATCACCTGATTTGTACACTCTGAATGTCTTACAATATTGTCAAGGTTTTATGTCTTTCTATCTCTTTTCAGAGACAAATAAGATTATATGGTAAGCAAATATATATGTTATTTACTGGCTTGGAGGTCCGTATAGGGAAACACTGCCCGAGGTCTTGACAGTACAGAACGAGCGCAGTGAGGTCGGTACTGAGACCGAGGGGAACGACCGAGGGCAGTGTTTTCCTATACGGACCGACCTATAGCCTGTAAATAACATTTTTATTTTTTTTATTTGTATTTTATGCAACTTTGCTCGTGGCCTAGCTACAGGATACTGTCGGACCGGGCAGATCGAGAAAAACTGGATCCCGCGCTGTGATTGACCAGCAATGACTAGGATACCGGACCAAATATAATCTTTTATATCTCTTCCCCCTTCCCCTCCCCATCCCTCCAACTCTCTTCCCCCTTCCCCTCCCCATCCCTCCAACTCTCTTCCCCCTTCCCCCATGGGAGTGCATTTAAACAATAAATACAGTGGCAGATCCAAGATTTTTCAAATGGGGGTTACACTTTGTTTTCGCATTTTCCTAAAACAAACTTTTTTACTGCGCCTCTCGAACTGTAGCAAATGTCAAATGTAGCGTGAATGTATTTAATAAAAATTCATTGTAAGATGCGTTTTCATTTTATTTCATTTATCTTTTATTTTATTTTTTTTTATGCTTGTMGGGGGTTCCTAGGAACCCATGGAAACCCGCCCTGGATCCGCCACTGAAATACAACATGTTTTGGCTTTTTTCTACCTAGTCACATCTTAAGATTCATATTTTGAGAAATATAGAAAACCAACTCTAATATACAAGATTAGAACTGTTTTTGATAATTTTTTCAGACGACTTTTTCAAATTTGTCAAATTTCTCTTTATACAACGTTAGATTTTAGAACTGGTTTTGTTASGAATATCACCGTTATTACATAAATATCAAAGTAGCCCAAAATGAAAATTCTCATGTTTGTTAGAGGATACATCAGTTCCATTGACTTGTATATCTTCTTTTTTATCAAAGAATTTTTCCCAAGAAAGTGGAGTGTAATCTCTTCGCCTTCGCCCAGGTCCAACACTYCATAAAAACAACCCGAAAATACATTTGTTAWMTYCATAAGAAACAAATAGCACTATGTGTTGTCATCGTACCCTTTTAGTTTCCCAGACATTGAAGGAAGTGGAGGAATACCGATTTTTTTCTTCAAAGCTTCGCGCTGCAAATCCGACATGTTGTTTTGTTTTCATTTGAGAAGCCGATGGTTATTAGCACTGCAGGCTCAAATTAAATTATTCGGTTCATATTACCGTAACTTTATGACTTATCGTGCTTAGTGTAAAACTCATAACTCGTACTGGATCACAWTCAAGTGGGTAATATTTACAGTCAGCTCTCGCTATTACGGACACCCTCGGGACCGTAATTTAGTGTCCGCAGTAGCGAGAGTCCGTAGTAACGAGAGTTACTTTTAGTCATTTCTCTGTATTTTTCGCCGGGGAATTAGTATTTTACTGTCCGCAATATCGAGGTGTCCGTAGTAGCGGGGTGTCCGTAAGGCGAGAGTTGTCAGTACACGATACTAAACTGGATGACTGATTGTGTGGATTTTTACTATCAAAATATTCCAAAAATAGATTTCGCCTGACGAGACTCACATGCCTGTTAAAGTTGTCYTCAATTGGCACTTGAAAAAATATCATGCAGAACGGCGTCTAAACGAAATTTTCCCGCTTTATTATTCCGTCCTTTTGATCATTGCTAACAGCTGGTTATTGCGAATTCTATAAGGATTAAAAACTATCGAAAATTCTTGCGGCAATATCGTGCAGCAGCCAGTTTCCTGCTTGGTGGGTRAATGGGTTAATCGAAGCGATCACTGTGGCTTTTTATGTATTTTTTTCGGAAGAAAAATGTCTAGAAACAGATGTATACAGCACAAGGGTTTCTGYAACTACAAAGGATCATCTTATAAGGCAAGTGAAAATAAGAGTATGTTAGTGTTTTCATAGTTTTCATTTTCGCACACCATTGCGTGACTTTTTCACTCAACAAGAAAAGAGAGCAGCGGCTATCGAAACTGAGCCGCGTTCAAGCCTTTCTTTTCATTGTTTTGACACAAAGTCTGAGGGATTAATAAACTTTTGACAAATAAAACAAACCGGTTACCAACAATGAATTGACTCGCAAGACCCGGAAGTGGCTGGCTGCGAATTTATACGTTTCATGATGCTATGTAAAGTCGTTTGGCTGCAGGCTGGCGCTGTGTCACCAAAGATAAATAGAAATCGAAGTATGTATATGTTCATGAATCAAAGGCGTCTAGTCTTCCAGCTATCACTAGCACTGCGCTTTCTTTTTAAAAAAAGGTCTTGACCTTTCAATGCAGTATGAACTGAAAGAAAAGGTGCGATACTGCCAGCCTTATATGGTTAGTGAAAGTTAGATTGTATGCTCAAGGATATACATATATACTTAGGGTCTAGACGGTGGATGTATCTTGGCGGCAAGCGGGCAAAYTGATCTGTTTTCTAAGACTTGGTAACGCGCGTGATAAACCGCTATCGCCGTTTAGTTTGCCTGCTGTTTTCAAAAGTTATGTTGTTGTTGACATGAAAGGCCATGCATATAATAGGAAATATTTGAAAGACGTGCGGTCGTTCTGGTTGTGCACCAYTATTTTTGACGCAATAAAGTATATCAAACGCCTTTATCGTTCAATATATCATAAGAGGGTGTGCCTCTGCTACTGTTACACTGTGTCACTGGTATATCTGGAAGTGACTCGGACGTWAAGTTTGAATATCGTTTGACAGTGTTCAATACATCACCAAAATCATCCACTTAAAATGCTAAACATTCAGCATTGCTGAAACTGACTCAGACTGTGTTGATTCTTTCTTGCTCATGAACACAATCTGCACAATGGCCTCATTCAACTACAAAGTCATCTCATTCCCTGACTATTCACAGAGGGCCGGAGAGCATATTATTCGAGTTCAAAGAAGTGAATGGACACAATAAACAACGCAAAAAAAAACACATCATGTCTAATTATAGCTCTAATTGCCGACGTAATGTTTTCAAAAATTACAAACTTTGGCTCCAAAAACCATGACGCTTTTGAATTTATAATGSKSKGRMWRCATTGGTGCACTTGGGGTCAGTCCACTTTCCCCTGACACGCATGCGCAAACGTCAAGCCGAAAAAATCTAGACGAATGTAGCTTAGCAATGAGCTGAAAAAAGACCGAAAGTTTTTACATTTTGGGYGCAAAAAACAKGTTTTTCCCAGGCTATGTAATTTCTGTTCTTATMTGACTACATTTGGCGATGATAGCTGTGTGAAATTCGCTGAAGAAGTGAGTATATCCATCTGTTCCGCATTGGCAGTTGATTGTTTCTCGTCAACGATCGTGTTTACCTTGACTTTAGGTCTTAAATTTTCATCAATTTTTCTTTGTTTGTGAATATTACAGTTCAATGAAACACGCACAAACATGAGGGAAGCTCATTTATTGAAATATCATGGAAAACCCTGAAAAACTAGGTAAGTAATTTAGGATTGATCATTACAATTTATTTTTTGCGTTCGTGTTTTGGTGGTGGTCTGTTGTTCTGTGTTCGTTGCTTGTTCCTTGGTTTAACCCGGTCCGTAATAWTAACTCCTTGGTTTGAAGTTTTATTTGAAGTAAGTTCAATAATCTGTTGAATCCATTTCAGCTAATGGTTCATCGTAAATAAAGTATAAGCCTCGCTACTGACTTGAGATCAATCATTGACGAGATGAGATTTCCTGCCGGGATGGAGTTTGCGCACATCTCAGACCTGAATTGCACTACCTTCCTGTTATTTCACATAACTTTCGTTTCTTACCAAAATACTTCTTTTACAGATTTACAAGATGATGAATTAAACTCAGAGTCAAGAGATGATGAAAGCGATCCCACTTTACCTTGGGCTGATCTGGCGGAACTTCCGAACACTATGCCTTCAGATGACGGGGTGACCTCGGGGGAGTTTGTCTTGAGAACTTTATTCGCAGAATTCACCATTTTAGCAGAGCAAAAAATTGAATTGGTATTGGCAGAACCTTTGGTAAGAATTTTAAGTGCAACTCTTGACAAAGAAAAAAGCGGGTGTTTATTTATTGAGTTGTCAACTAGAATAATTTACTACATGACCTCTGAAGGTGTTGAACATGTTTTATCATCCAAGATCACGATCAATGTAGCGTTATAAACATGAGATCCGCGTCAAGTCGTATCACCTACTGTATCTTCTATAACCTGCCCGGCACGTGACGATTACCGATAAACACCATTTTGATGTTGAGAATTCTTGTTGAAATTGAAGACATACAATTTACATGCTGATCACCTGACGTTCTTTTGCAATTTCCAACTATTTTAAGCGAACCAATGATTGACAGTACTGAACATTTATAATATTTTATAATGTGTTGCCATTATTTTTAAAATTAGCGTGTTTAAAAGTTGTTTTGTCTAGAGGAGTAACATCGATATCATACTGGTATTTTACGTGTTGTACATTGTACATATGTATTGTTTATGGCGCTAAATATATTTTTGTCGTGTTGCGACATTTATCAATTAGTGCATTTTTTGTATTTTTTAGAACATCACATAAACTCAAGAACCTTCTAAGCTTATCTTAAATTGATTGAAGTGCATAAAAATCCCYCGGATGATAAGAAAAGGTGTTTTCGATTCCGTTTGTTTTGGCTGTGCTCACAAATCCTTTGTTAACTATTGCGCGAGGCAACCGTACGTCATTCACGGGTGATTGGCTATCATCCGTAATGCTGTTCATTAACAAGACAATACTGACTGCGTGGTGCGCACTTCAATTTTGAATAACATAGCTTTATAACATTTTATTTAATGCTAGACTCCCACCAAGAAGAGATTGTGCTGAAAGTATGTCTATTTGTTCACCAAGTTCAAATGTTTATTCAAGGGTTACTAAATTATACCACCATTATCCAAAATCAAAATAGGGAGCTTTCTTTAGATGCCATGCTATTGTTATTCCTCATGATTTGCTTCAAGATACAATACTCTTTGTTTGCTTGGAATGACGTGAATGCATTATATAAATTCATAAAAAAGATTAAAATTCTGGGAACTACTCTGACATGATCATATCGGAAGGTTAACCTTTCACGAAGAAATTTCATCATAGGTCAAACTTTGATGTTGCTAAGGAAGTAACATTTTTTCACATCATAAATTCAATATACAACGCAATGTCAATAAAACTAGTTTTACCTCAGTAGTTTTCKTTGTGTTTGTAWATATCCTGGTGCAATGGGTAGTTATGTAATCACTYCAGTCACATGATAAGCATAAATGTATTAAAGGCTCCACTACTGCAATCTCAGTGTTATTTAGAAACACAACAAAATATTAGTCAATTTCTATTTCTATTTCTGATTTGTTTTTACCTAGTAGTTCATGTGTAAATTATAGTCTGCATGCTGGATTTCCAAACATGGCATTAAACAGCATTTGAACAATAGTCATGTGTATAATACAAGAGCAATGACGTGTGGAAAGGAGAAATGTTTTCAGCATAAATGCAAATGATTTACCGATTATCCTGAAAGCTCGCATTTCCCGATATATTTATCCAGGAACGGCCATTGTCCAAGACGCTACAAAGAGGTGAAGATCCACAGTTTGACCAACTACTCAGTTCTCTGAATATTGTTGCTGAATACAGRCTTTTGTCATTATTGAAGACTTTATTCAAGTGGTATGAGAAACAGGTACACTTAACAAGTTATCTAAGGGAGGGAGGGGATGGGATAAAATATACCAATCACTTTTAACATTGTTGCTTTGCTAAATGCCTAGTACATAGTATGAAAAATCCATTACATGCGATCAGTGATAGACTGTTGTCAATCAGAATTTTCAAGCAAACCAGCACTCAGCTCTAAAACACTTTAGTTGATTGATAGCAGTCTATTGCCAATTAATYCATTTGTGAAGTTTTATCTGGACTGGTCGTATAGTAATGCAGACAACGGTAATCAGTATTTCCAACTCCAGAAATTAAATTAGTTAGAAAATGTATGCTAGGCTTTGACTGATAACACTTTGTCTTTTACTCAGCAAAATTTCAAGTTTGGAGATGAGATTGACAGTCAAAATAAGTCAAAAAGCAACAACAGACCTCGGAGGTATGTTTGTATCATATTACTAATTGTAATTTTTATTGATGATAATCGATTGCTTAATCTCTTTATGTTTTTACAGTGGTGCTGATTCCCCTAAACTGATAGTCAAGAGTAACAAAGAAAAAGATTATCTTTCTGAAAGGAGAGATGTAAGAATTATTAATCATTCAATMCAATTGAATTGTTGTATTTATCTTACAAAAATCTTATCATGATGATTGTTTTATGTTATCTGTATTTCATAATAGGATCTTATTTTATTTTCAGCTTGCAGTTGACTTTCTCTTTTGTTTGGTTTTYATTGAAATTCTCAAGCAGGTGAGGAAAATCAAAAGGATGATGTCAATATCTTGATTTATTTGATTGTTTTTTACCATCATTCATGAATATATTAGTTTGTGTCTTTGTTCATTCATGTATAGTTTAAACACTCTCTCGAGTGTTTTAAACGGCTTCAAAAACTTCAACACTAATTTGAAACGTAAATCCATTAAAATTCTTGGAGAAATTGCCGTAAAAATATGTTTTGAGATAAATGGGACAAACTGATCATGCGCGAATCATTGTACAAAGCACTCTTGTCATCCCACATTGAATACACATAAAGTAAAATAGAACCGCTGTTGGCTGTTCTAGGTATCAAACCTAAGACCTTTGCTAGGGTCATGGACCTTTATGTCTGATAAAGGTCGCCCTTATTAGTATTCTTTATATAAAGAATAGAGTGTTTTATCAGATATAAAGATCCATTCATGTGACCAAATAGGCTCATTCTATTGGCCTAATAACTCATTAAMTATGTATGAGTTTTTGAATGTTTTTTTACATTTCATTGATTTTTAAAAGTAATGTTGAAGCTTCAACTAGAATTAACAATTCCAATCACCCAATCACCATAAACATGGTGACTATATTTGCATTGTAGTATAAATTATAATTATACACGTTGTACGTATAGAATCATACATGTAGTTATGGATGTATTAAACCAAATTTGTTTTCAGCTTAATGTTCACCCCATTGATGATGAAAACTTACAGTACATTGAGTCTCTGGCATTCAGACGCTTTAAGCAAAGAGACAATGATTCATCCAGCCCTTCYGCAACAAACAGTCAAATTATTGCAGCCCTTTATGCTGAAGTCATTGGTGTCCTTGCAATGGCTCGCTTCCCTAACATTCGCAAAAGATTCACTACAGAGTTCAAAGAACATCAAACTAATCCATCAACTCTGATCAATCTTATRTATGGAATGAAATATCTTAGAATAAAGGTAAATGTCAATATTGAAAGCATACTTCCCTATAATAATAATTATTTACCTATTTTGTAACAAAACATATTGTTTGATTTTGATTTAGTTGTTTCCAGTAGAAGAGCTTGAAGAAGGATTTCTTTTTCTGAGGGTATGTCTTTTCTCAATATTGAACTTTCATGAAATTTGCAAAATACAAAGAAAAGTAAATTCTCAATTTTTATGTGCACAGCTACAAATGACTGTTGAAAAATAAATTATCCACTTAAGAATTTTTTAGCAACTTAAAGTTTTATACTATTAGTTAGAATGCAAGGTCAATGGATCACAAGGAAGTTCACTTGACACTACGAAAAGACAACCAGTAATATTTGAACTAATCTAATCTAATTGTTTTCCAGGAATGTGCAGCATTGTTTATTGACGCCAAAGAAAAGGAAATCAAGTTTGCATTTGCTTCAATGTTTGTTGAGATCCTTCTTCCAGTAGCAGCCTATGCTAATAGAGAAGTTAATGTCCCTGCATTGAAAAACTTTGTAGATATGATGTTTCACCATGCTCTTGACTTAACAAAAGTGAAAAGGAATATTCAGGTATGAATSTTATTGATGTATAATATTATAATATCAATTTGTACCAGTGATTTAATGAGTAAATTTGTGTGACTYAATAGTACAGTACACTTATAAGCCGCGGCTACACAAGCAATGTTTCSCTTGCGCAGGCGATGAAATTTTRGGGTARGATGAAAGCTGAARGTCAAATTTGAGCTGTTTTCAAGTACATGTACATTCCTCTTTATGGAGATTCAAATAAGTATTTGTGAGGATTGTTTTATTGATACAGGATTGMTGCTCGTATATAGCTACATCACGTGCTGGTGATTTTGAGAAAATTGAGTCGCCTGGGCAAGTGAAAAAATCGCTTGTGTAGCCATGGCTTAAGGAGCTAACGCATGATGTGTTCAGSAAGAARGTACAATATTGATGTGATATTTTRGTTAATTAGTCAACCTATCCACTGGTAACAGTACTGCTGTGTGTAAGTCAAAAGGCATTCTTCCTTAGTAACTGGTTCAATTTTCTGTCYCAATGTTTGACKAGCGTAAGGGTAAGTGTAAGGCTTTCAYGYTMGGTGGTTATAGAGAACCATTAAGTATGTAACCACTAAMTGTGGTTTTAAATAAAGTCTAATTGATCAATAAACCACATGCTCACTACTAAATGAATATTTGCCATTTTCTTGCAGCAAAAAGATGTKAAGATACAAAGGATAGCACTTGAGTGTCTCTACAGACTTATCTGGTGAGAGTTRTAATTAAAACCAGCTTAATTCCATGTAAATTATTTCTCTAGCATATGACATGTTCATTTTGATTGATTAAGATATCATATGAGTTTTAAAGTTAAACAAAAATRAAAATGTAAATCTCTAACTTACTGCAAAACACCATTGTTATTTAACTGTCTTTATTATTATTATTATTATTAATATATGATGCTTTATTTTCATGTAGGGTTTATGTTGTAAGAATAAAATGTGAAAACAACTCAACAACTGTGAGGTAAAATCCCTTCATGACTTCCATCCTGTCACAATTAGGCACATGATCGTTTATTTACCATACGGTTATTGTTGCATATGAAATGACATTGTTGTTTATAATATTATTTAGCCGTCTAAGAAGCATCACAGAGACATTGTTTCCCAGAGGTGCCAAGACAGTGGTTCCTTCACCTAAAGACGTTCCACTAAACATCTTTGTTAAYATCATACAGTTTATTGCTCAGGTATTTGATGATGATAAACAGTTTTTGTTGTAGCAAGTGACTGCATGATAGTATTATTTTTTTTAGGAAAAACTTGACTTTGCCATGAATGATATAATCTTTGATCTTCTGGGTGTTGGTAGGACWCGTCAAGTAATAAGCCCAGAGGTAATATGTTTACAAGTTAACGCATCAAGGAAATTATTTTATAGTATTCATTCTATTCTTATCATATTAACTGTGATTATTTAATGATCAATCATAATTAATTTCCAGAGAATGAACATTGGTTTAAGAGCATTTTTTGTTATTGCCGATAATCTTCAAAGAAAGGTGAGTGAAGTTTTATTGGTGTTCAAAAAGATAGTCCTTGTTTTTATCTTAGCAGCTAATCAATTAACATGGATYGCTTGTGACTTGATGTACATCTTGCATATTGCTTGTTTCCAGGGTGGTGAAGCRCCTCCTATGCCTAGTACAATCAGTACCCTCCCCTCCGGTAACACCATAAGGGTAAAGAAGATCACACTACCAAAGACGCTGACAGAAAAAGCTGCTAACATTATTGGACTTGCTAACTATTATCACAGGTTAACATTCACATATTATTGGAATATTGTCATTGATATGCGATAATTATACAYTCAGGTTTTAAATCAAAAAGATATTCATTGTTAGCCAGATTATGATTAAGAGATTATAAATATCAATTTTTTTCATTAATTTTAGTGTTAGAAAATCAGTTGACAACATTCTCAGGAATCTGGATGCTCAAGTTGGTAAACCAATGATTATGACAAACCCACACTGCTCTCATAAAGAAGATGACATGATCACGTAAGAAAATCATCATCTTGTCCATCCCTTTCATCCTTATTGATATGCATTAATCCATCCAACACATTGTACATCCATTTGTCTATTAAAGRAACCATTCATTGTTCCCTTGATTTGTTCATTTCAATCATTCATCCATTAGTTCATCCATTTATTCATTAATCTGAATATYCCTTTTAATATCTGTTCTTATATTTTGTGTAATTAGCGGAGAGAGAAAGCCTAAAATTGACCTGTTTAGAACTTGTATTGCTGTCATTCCAAGGTACACATTATTTTTGGGTTATAAATCTGATATCAGATCYAGGACTACTTGTACCTGTACTTGTCTTACAAGAGTAAATACAAATTTGTTTAACTGACAACAGTTTCTATTTCCTTTTCATTCATGTCAACTTTACCGAGGTGTATTTGAAACAAAAAAGCTTCTCAAAGAATTGTCCAATACAGTYAATATTTTTGATTTTTCWAGATGTATCCCAGAAGGRATGACTAAGTCAGAGCTGGTAGACTTTCTCTCCAAACTCACAATGCATATGGATGAAGAACTTAGAGGGTATGRTTGTTATGTCTTGTAAAAACCAGCAAMAACTACCTAGTTTTGATATTTMATATTTGTGACAAACAGGCTGGCCTTCTCTGCTCTTCAAACRTTAACAATGGACTTTGCTGACTGGAGAGAAGTAGTRATTCTTGGTAAGTAGTGTTTGTACAATATAGCATACAACAGTTTTGATTGAAGTCATGAGTGTCACAACAGGTAAATACTGGTAATTAAAACCATTCAATGACATCCAAAACATGACCTTCATATATTTGAATGGTTGTCGTGTTTATTGTTTYCTGCAGGTTTTGTCAACTTCATACTAAAAGACGTACAGGATAATTTCTTAATCAAAGATGCACAYGATAACCTTATCCCACTGCTGGACAGTGGCTTAAGYATGCTATTACAACTCCTGGCAGTTTGGAAGCAAGCTCTCATTACTTCAGATCCTAGTAGTAAGGTACAAATGAATAACATTTCTTATTTTCTGGTAATCAATATTATGCCAGGATGTGACTGTCATTTGTACTTATTGTAGAATGGTGATGGAGATACCATTGAGTTGTCATCTCATAATCTACCAAGTGACAAAGAYCTGGACAGCATTGGTGTTTTACACAATGTCGAAGGTTGTGCTCTTGTTATGCTGTGTAATTCAAGGCCTTCTATTCGRAGACTTGGAGTCATGGTATTGAAGGAAGTCAGAACTCTCTTTCCTTTGATTGATCCTGACAATGAGGTTTGTTTATTGAGCAGATAATGTCTTTTTGGACKACCTCATTCATCTATTGTCTGTCCACTCTCATCCACTCGAGCATTGTTTCCCAAAAGTTTTAAAAGGGCATGAGCAGAGGCAATTACAGGTCATTAATTGGTAATACCATGTATTGTCATAGTAGTAAAGTATAATTTTCACGTGCAGGAAAGAAAAGAAAAAGCTGTGATGGATGTCATTGAGCAGGTATTTTCAACAGTGTTAGACAAAACACTTACTGCAGTTCCTCAAAGTGAAAAGGTAACTAGTAAATCTTTGATAATTTCATATTTTTCAATTTCTTTATAATCTTTATTACTTGATTATTTTTTAAATGACTTGTTTGTTTCTGTTTTCCTGTTAGCTTTTCTCTGGACAACTTGGCAATATTGATATACTTGTGATGAATGATCGTCTTGGTACCTTTGCTGATCAAGAGAGCAGTGAACAAATGTTGATGCTGTGTAATGATTTGTGGCTGAACGTTCTTGCTGGATTACTAGACAAGAACTATTTACCTGAGTCATGCCAGTCTGCTTTACAGTTTAGTTGGCCTGCAGTGTTTAATAGATTGTTGAATGTCTATGCTGTCATTGACCCAGGGTGAGTACGGCTGGTGCTAGAGTAAACTTTATGTAAGATGATCATGGTCAACTCTCATGTCAYACACCCAGAAACAATGAACAACCTGGTATTAAAGATACCCTGTTATCTGCACCAAAGTGTTTGCAGTGGGTACTCACAAACACTTTTAAGGTTGTTACATGTAAAAATACACAAAATCTTGCAGAATCGAGTCAAAGAATCTTGTAATTAAATTAAGCAGCCTCTACTTTCACATGGCAAAGTAAAATCTAAGACAGAGATTATAACAGATGATTTGATTTTAGTGCTTCAGGTATGGATTCTATAACAAGTTTATCATCCATGTATAACCGTGGACCTAAGAAGACTTCTAACATGGGWGATATCCGATTATGGCGCAATTACTTGGTGTTTGCATGCTGTACCCACCCTAAAACACCACCATCAAGAAGTGAATCACCTGACCAAGACGGGGGGTTTGTTTTGTTATTTGTACTTATTAACAATCAATGGATTGATTGAGAAACTGACTGATTAATTAACGACTAACTTGCTGATTGCTTGAATTATAAAGATTAATGCTCAATAAATGATTGATGGAATGACTGACCATTTGTTTGATTCATTGATTCATTTTAGAACTTCTTCTGAAGGATCAGACAAGGTGGACTCCAGAGTAAGAACATCTTTTTTTGTTTTATCAAACCCTATGATTAATTCTGTTCTGTTTTGTTCCATTTTGTTTCATTCTGTTCTATTTTGTTTCATTCTATTTTGTTCTGTCCTGTTCTATTTCGTTCCTTCCTGTTCTGTTCCATTCTATTCAGTTCTCCTATGTTCCACTCTGTTCTGTTCCATTCCATTCTGTTCTCTTATGTTCCATTCTGTCCTGTTCTGTTCCATTCCATTCTGTCCTCCTATGTTCCATTCTGTCCTGTTCTGTTCCATTCTATTCTGTTCTCCTATGTTCCACTCTGTTCTGTTCCATTCTGTCCTGTTCTGTTCCATTCTATTCTGTTCTGTTTCATTCTGTTCTGCTCTGTTCCATTCTGTTTTGTTTTGTTATGTTCAGTTACATTCTATTCTGTTCCATCATGTTCTGTTCTGTTTCGTTCTGTTCCGACCTTCCCTATACCATTACTTTCTATATTCTGGTGTTCAGATGAATTTCATTGTTTTTTTTTAGCCACCATCACCCCACATGGTAGACAGCTTGTTTAGGTTTGCTGTTCCTCTTCTAAAGAGTGATTGTCATAAAATAAGAGAAGCCATCATTTCTGGCCTGGGCAGAACAAGTCCATCTTCATACAGGTCAGGGTTGTCATCATTTATTTTAGACTTGGTAACTACTCATTCATTTTCTATTCACTTTATTCAATCATTCTCCCATTCAAAAATTTACTTGTGCCCAATTAATGGTTCATCACTAGTAAGACACAAAAATCTCAAAARRTTGGGGCACATTTGTTTTACTTCCAAGCAAACATTGACAACACAGTCATGGTAACCAAGAAATACACAATGCTAACATGTGGTKTCTTCCTTGTTGCAGGGACTTTATTGAAGAAATTCACTTTTTAGTTAGAGAAGCTTTAGATAGAAGAGCTGAGGTAAAATCATGTCTTTTATCTTACAGTTCTAACCAGAGAACCATTAAATTGTTCATTTTGTGATATTTGTTTGTTTTGATAGTCTGTGCGCAAGAGAAGGAAYAGAGACTCCTTACGATCATATCTGACAAAGGTGTTTGAACTGAATGCTCAGTACGGCTGCTTTGCTGACAGGTGAATATGATTCTACTATAGTCATAAATGACAAAAATCACAATTGTTATGACCTTGTGACATTTACTAGTGACAGTGAACTTGTGAAAGAAGATGGGCTGATATCATTCTTCAAGGACTATATTGATGGAATCAGGTAATAACCAATTCTTATTCATAAATATTGTTGAGTGTTACTAGTAGGTTGAGTTATATTTAGAATCAAAATGCACACCCCAGGTAAATAGCAGATGCAGTGTGTAATATAATATTATTGTGTCCGTGATGATAATGCATACAATTATATGGTTTTCTTGTAGGCTATATCTTGAGAGTGAACCTGARAAGGACTGGCCAGCAATCATGCATCTAAGACTATACTTCTGTAACTTTGTTTACAAGTTGATCACTTCTGTTCCAAGTAAGCTTATCATGATAAAGACATACATGTACATGCAAAAAGTACATAAATTGTCAGATTTAATCTCATAGTTCTATGATATCATATAATTGGATTTACTTTCACAGAGTCACATAAAGTGTGCCTGCTTCCAAGGGATCTTCGATGTAATTTGTTTTTCCTGTTCAGTAGCTGGTGTGCTCATTTTGGTGTCAAGATACCTGGAGTAGACAGGTTAGTTAGATCAATTCAGAATGGTGCTTTGCATTGTTTTCTTTAATGAATGTTTTGTATTTTCAGAGCCCTGCTTATACCTAGTGCTCAAAGTAATGATTTAGAACTTGCCACCTTGCATGTAAGTGTAAGAATAGTGCATTCGTTATCATGAAATTGTAAATATTATCTATAACAGATGGTGTGGACAACTTGGTTTGTTGAGTGCGTGTGTGCTGGATTGAAAGGACTTTGTGACTTTGTAAACTTTTATTTTTAGTCCATCCTTTCTCCCACCAATTCTTCCTTTCATTTTGTCATTCATTAGTTTGTTCATTCATTCATTCATCCATCCATTTAATCATTTGTTCATTCTCTCTTCCTTTTAATTATTCCCTTATTATTTCATTGATTTATTGACTCAACATTCCATTCATTCAGCTTTTCTAAGCTAGTCTTTTTCTGTTTCAGGCAATGTGTGGTATTCTTCAGTGTGGGCCAATGTTTGACTCTGATGGTCTTTCTAGTAGTGGCTATTTGTACAGCTGGCTAAAACTGGTTTTGAACTCACCTAAAGAAAAGGTAAACTTGCCTCCAAGTTGTTGTTTTTTGATTTTTATGCTATCCAGGAAGTTATTGATAAGTAGAATAATGTTTGACAAAGCGCCAACTTGTAGCTTATGTATCTTACATCTTAACTGTAGATTCATCTTCTTGGCCGTAATACCCTCACACTCTTATTGGAAAATAACAGCAGTACTCCCACGTTATTACATTGGGTTATTGACAAGTGRTATACTGGGACTAAACTAATGGCGAGTGGCTGCTTTAGAGCTTTGTGTAGTGTCTTGACAAAGAGGTACYTGATTGAATGATTTTTGTCTACAATTCCTTTCCATTTTTTCCCCATACTTTTCTAGTATGTCTGATCCACAATTCAATTTCTCCCCTTTTCATAACTGAAAATGTAAGAGCACATTTATGTATTTTTTAGGACTGACTATCCATGTGAGATGATTCCTCTGTTGAATGTTGTACTATTCAAAACAGCTGATACATCCATTGATTTACGTGAAAAAGCAGCTCAACTTCTGCAAATACTAGAGAGGTATAACAAGGAGAATTTATTTGTAATTTCCTCAGTCTAGTAGTGAGTGCAATTCGCTGTTTTTGGATAATTGTAAGCAATTATTGTGCAGAAACTCATACCTTTCATTGTAAATAGCAAATCAATTTTTATGCAGTGTTATCTCATCAGAATTTAGAATTTTGCATTTCACATTTTTTTACCTTTCAATATCTGTGCACTAAATTATCTATTTATCGTTATCATTTGAGAGATCCAGTAATGGTTGCYTTCCCTTCCTTTTCTCCCAGAGATTTCACAAAGCATTGTCCAGTTATTGTTCATAATGAATGTCGTATTTTCAGGCGTTTCTTCAAGTACACGCCTCCTTCCATTTCTTGCTCYGCTCACTGCAGCTACTCACAGTCGCAGAGTGAGCTCTCTACAGCCCTAGCCAAGGCTCATCCAGAGATAACTGTCTACATGTTTGAAGGTATTCACCATTRTCCTACACTCTTAACTATGTTAACATGATAGTATCTTGCAGACACATTACCTCGGRGGTACGATATACWWGTAATATGTCCAATATAAGGTGTTWAAATCATTTGTACTTGTTTGATAGAAATGACATCAAGATTTCAGAGTACTGCACCAGCTGGTCAGAGGTGTATCTTACAGTATATGCTGCCTTGGTTGGCCAATATTGAGCTGGTTGATTTGGCAAACCCACTATCATTGCCTAATATTGAGGTAGAACTTGACGATGAAAAGGAAGACCAATCAGAGGTCTTGTTGCCGATAGATCTGAATGGAGAAGGTTGGGGATCAGTAGAGGCTACTCGACTTGTATTGAACAATTTATTCTARATCACAGTTAAGGTATCTAGAATGTCACTTATATTGGTTGATTGATTGATTCTTGTGTATTTGATTATTGGCTGGTTAGATTTGTTGGTTAGTTGGATGTTAGAGAGTATCTTAAATCATTGTGTTTTTCTAGTATGATGATCACTTCAGTAAAGAGATCGAGGCAGCTTGGGCRAGRCTGGTGTGTAGTCAATGGGTCAACAACGTCCATGAAATCCTCAGTTACTTYATCACACTTGCRGGAGTCGTTGGACAATCAGAAGTGCTAGTCCATGTAAGAAACTAGAAATTGAATTGTTGAAATACTAAACCRTTGAATTTGTTYTGAATGAATGATYATTAAACAAATTGATTAAGTGTATAAATAAAAATTGTTGTTTTAGGCAAAGAAACTTGCAGTTTATATAGCCAGGGCACAAACCGACCAAACTGTTGATGAATTAATGGAGGAACTTAAGGTAACCATTCATAATAGATTGACTGCATGGCACATTATTAATCTCTTCTATCATGTTCATCTTCAGCTAACAGAAACAGTAGCCTCTCAGTTCGAACGTAGTGACGAACCGCCATATTTTAAAGTTGTCAGTAAAACGTCATGTAGTAGAGACTCTGTGTGTGAACAGACYGACACGAAAAAGACTACACAGTCTCTTAATAAGAATGCTAAACTACTGGAAGAATCTACCAAGAAAGAGACAAAAGAAGAGAAAAAATCTGACAGTCTTCCAAGAAACCCGAGTTTAGAGAAAGGTATGTTGTGTCAACCGACTGTATTTTAATTTTCTTATTGTCTAAGTGAYTCTTGTAATCAGGGTCAAGTACAGACCAGCCTGACATGGCCCCTCTTGCTGAACCAGAGGATGTAGAYGATGACAGCAAGGTGGAGTCATTCCAGGATGCTTACTGGCCACAGGAATGGGTGTTWAGAGTGTACAAGGCTGGTGTTGCTGTTCCTTTACCAGTACCTGACAGACAGAAATACTACGCTCCTCTTGATGATGTCCTACCATTCGCTTCTACGGCAGCCTCGCTGTACAGGTAATCGTYTYGTTAACCAGCTTTTTTATTTGTGAAAAGGCYTGTTATTGATTTGTTTTMTTRRTCAGATGTAATTTTGCTTTGATGGTTCTTACTGAGCTGGTTCTCGATCAACCACAAGTGGACTGGGGACGACATGTTCCTCTAATGTTACATCTCATTTTCTTAGGTAAGTCAGTAGATCACTTTCATAAGTGKCTTTCATAGATGTTATACAATTYACAATATTATGGAAACATTCAGCACTGTCWTATGGAAGGAAAATATATAGGAAARAGGTATTCGTGGAAAGTTTTGATAATTGATATGATAATTAGTTTCGGTSATTATGAAAGTCGTCAATGATTCTAGAAAGAAATCACAAACAGTAAAGCATGGACGTGTTTATGATTGTGTTCTCAGGTCTTGACCACGGCAAGACYTTGGTATATGAGCACTGTAAACGATTACTAGTGAATCTCGTTATCATCGTTGTCTGTCATGGTAATTACATACACATTGCTCAACCATTGGCTGATTTTATGGCTGGATCAGAGCAAAGCCTTGGRAAACATGGTCAACTACAGAAGTCTGTGTGGACTTTAGACATAGGGAGTATGGTGCGTATTCCTGACACCAATGAAACTAGTGCTGGCACTGGTCACATTACCAAGACAAAAACTAACCATGTTACCGATGACAATGGCCATGCAAACGAGTCTGAAAAGTAAGTTTTTTTTGGTCATTCTAAAAAGTGTGGAAGAAATCGAAATAATATTTTTGATACAGTCAATTCTTTGTTTCGTTGTGAAAATCAACTTCATCATCATCATTAGACAATCATGTTCTGTTTTACCTACTCAGCGATCTTTCCAATAGGTTTACTGCAGGCGGTGAACTCACAGATGATGATGATAACGAGACAGCCAAATATGAAAGTGTCAAAAGCCTTATTGAGTTCCTCTCTAACAGGTTAGGATCACGATTGATTCATATTCCATCTCAACATTTTTTGATTTCACTCTTGTTGCTTTGACCACGCCTATTCTTCTGATTGTTTGCACATTTTCTATCCCTTTTTATTCATTTATTTTCCTTCCATTCATTCAATATTTTTCTATCCTATTTTTAATGCGATTTATCAACACCCTTTATACCAACATGTCTTTCCTCCACACAGTATCAGCAAACCTCTATGGTCATTTGAGGACATAACTCCCCGTAACTACAAGATCAAAAGTGCTGAACAAATGGAYATATTCCTGGCTTTAGTCATTCACATKTTTAGRACCACYGACATCGGTTCATCCGTGCAGAGAGATTGGGCWAAAGTTGCACTACAATGGGCTACGACATGCTCATCAAGGCATTATGCAGGTCGATCATTTCAAGTGTTCAGAGCWCTTAAAGTTCCTCTATCTTGGCCAATGCTGAGTGATGTACTGTCRAGACTGGTTGAGTCTGTAGGTGATACCAGCGAAGATGTACAGGTAATTTCTCATTTGTTTAGGCTTCTATTTAGCCTAATTTTTTCCTGGACAAAGTCTGATTATTTCTTGTATAAATGCTCTTGTCTGTAGGGTTACGTCATGGAAATTCTGTTAACATTAGAAGCTTGTACAGACTGGACAATGTACGATTCAGTTGGTGATGGTCCCGCGGGACGGGATAGGACTGTTATACCCTATGGTCGAGACCAAGACGACAAAGAAATGGACCAGTACGATGAATTAGCTAATGTCCTATCCCCCCTAGGGACGCCTGGTAGAACCCCCCTTAGTTCTCGAAGTGGTCTTTTGAATGATAACCTGTCAATAAGACACATCAGGTCCCTTAGTAGTGGCTGTGATATAKGAAGTGCTTTGGGTTTCTATACGTACATGGGTAGAATAAACCATCAYAACAYCGACATGTTACGCGCTAGAAGGTGTGTAGTATTAATATGAGCGAAGGTAACGCACTCACTAGTATTACCACACTATAGTTTGATAAAATACCACCACATAAAAGTACGGAAACTAGAAACAACTTTCGAAAAGGATTTTGGTAGTTTATACATGAATCGTTTTATCTCCGAGATAAACTTTTTTCAATGACTTTCTACTATACCTTTCCTAGTGCAAGTGTTCAATGTCTTCGCATGACCAATGAAGTCAGCCAACAGACTCAGACTGATATGATAACACGTGTATTTTGGATTGCTGTCTCGTTATTCGAGTCTGATTACGACCACGAGTATCTAATGGCAGTAGAACTACTCAATCAGGTATGTCGATAGCACTATCGTACTTTAAAATAATGCCGTTCATTGGAAGAATGTGTTTTTTATTTAGTTTAAAAAAATGCCAGTTCTGAGCTCGGGTACCAGCTACTCTGACCAATTCTGATCGAACCGCGCTTTTCCCTTACCGAGAAACTTCCGAATAGTTTCCGACCCATTGACGACTTAGCGAATACATGGAAATTAATGAATGATGTTTTATTTACTCAACAATTTTTGATTAATTATAGATCTATTTTTTTTTATGTACCTAGGTGATGACATTCCTAAACCTTGGAAGACACGAATCTAGAGATCGACTGGAAAAGGTTCTCAATCGTTTAAATTGGACTGAGTTCCCAGGTTTACAAGCTTTGGTCCTCAAGGTAGGGCACTAAATATATTCCATACTGTACTGACTGTATGTGAGAGGAAAGGGGGAAAAACGTGAAACCGACATTTGAGTAAACCAGGCGGTTTATCGAGTGAGAGGTTAGGTTTCCTAGTTTGTATTTGACGATTACAATGTTTTGTTATGATAGGGTCTTACCAGCGCTGGAACGAGTGACGTCTCTCTACGTCTCCTGGCGAGGCTTACAGAATTCACTGATGTAGCAATCGTAGATCCTTCACAAGTATCAGGTATAAAAGCTTTATTTGATTTGTATAGTCTCCTTTGTAGCATGTTCTTGCATCGGGCTTCCTGTGCGTAAACAATAACAGGCCGGGTAGAAGTCTATTTGATTCGTGTTAATATGTATGTTTGATTTGTTAGGCTTTGGGTTGAATATCCTGGCACTTTTGTCTTACATGGCGGAACACTTCGATGAACCTGATGAATTCAGTAAAACATGTGCTGATAATATCGTCCAGGTAAGATTGACAGATGTCACTTACAATGTATCATCATCATTTGTAAGGTGGAGCTCTTTTYATTATGTCATGCTTATCCCTAGTCATTGGTTACCATTCTAGACTTATTATTGAGAAGATGTCTTCAYTTAAAATTTTACTTACACACGACATCTAGTGTGATTTGATTGCTCATCYCATTTAGTACACCAGTTTCTAATCAGCTTTGTACATTTGTCTTTTAGGTGTGTTGTCGTACAGTTAGTCTTAGTAACTTGGGTAAAATGTTCAAAATGTACGCTGATAAATCATATCATCGACCAAGAATCACCTGGATTGATGTTGTTTGTAAATACATCCATGATTCGTACAGTCGGTACAGCAAGTCTTATGTCACATTCCTTTTAGAGGTAATAACCTCATTCAATCTTTATGTTGCTTACATTTATTTTCGATATTGTTTTGTAGCTCTCTGTTGCTACTTGCTTGTGTGTTATTGACGGTTTATTTTTATCTGTGTTTGATGTTTGTTGTTGTTGTTGTTGTTGTTGTATTTATTTGCTTGTTTAACTTACTTGTTTAACCGATTTACATATGAACAAATCGCTTCTTATTTATCGTAGGTCTTGGAGTACGGCCCGCAGTCCTATCAAGAATCTGTGCTAGCTATCCTGTGTGCTCTAATCAAACAAATCGACTTCTCATCTGTTGCTATGAGACAATTTCATAATAATGTGCTTAAAGTTATTTCTAGGTATCTGAAGGTAAGCTCAATTTGCTTTTGTTTAATTTTAACTTTTTATTTAATTATTTTAATTTTATTGTTTATCTTTTACTTTCACAAATCAGATGTCAACATTATAATATTGTTGTTTTGTCCCTGTTTTTCTTRAATATTTGTGCTTTCTTTGCTTTCCTTTGTCAAATGTTAACCAATACTCTTTTGTTTRCAGGGGAATTACTGGAAAGAGTCCCTCGAGATTCTCAAAATAGCCGTCTCGAACTCCTCTAATCTGGACACCCCGCCTCCACGACCAAAAAGTACTATATGGTCGAGTTATGACAGTAGTTGGGCTATCGACGCACTTCCTGTCAAGAAAGAACTACCAGGTCGAACACTAGAGTTCACGTACGATCTGTCATCTGTTCCTGTGATAGGWACTAAAAGTACAATAGAAAACAACGCTGAACAGGCCAAGATAACACCTGATATTCCTTCTCCTAGAAAACCCAACACATCTCAGGTACTATTATGGTTTCTGTATGATATCTATMACCGKAGTGAYCGTAAATTAATGGCTGGAATATTGCAGAYGCTCATTTAATCGATCGTTGATCATTGCGCATGCTCATGTATGATTTCTAATCCAATCCCACATGGCTTAGTGCCTAATTTACTCTCAGCATGCCAACTAGCTGTTGTCTGATCTATATTTATCTTCTGATGTAATACTTTCAGCGACGAACACGCGAACGTCTCGTCCACGTCCTACAAACATGTGGTCACACGGTTGGCTTGAAGCAAAGTCCATCTGTTGTTTTTAGCTCATCGAGTGACTTGGCTGTTGAAAAACCAACTGATCACCAGTCATCTAATGAAGACGTTAACAATGAATCTCGTAAAGAGGATCAGGTGCGTGCATTGTAGATGGTTTCATCAACCTGACGAGCGGTGTGAAAGAGCCTATTGTGACAATTTCACTTAGTACTTTTATTAGGTATCTATTAGAGACACTATTTCGGTTATAAAAAAAAATGGAATATGAGGGGACCAGTTTAAGAAAGCAGTTGAAGAGAACAGTCAGACAGTACGCAGAAGCGAGCGCTATATTATTATGAGAGTAAAACCTCATTCAATTATGGTAGATGAAAAACTCTTGAGTTTCTTACAGTAACAAACATGTAGTTTAAAAATAAACTGYGGACTTCAATAATAACAGTACCATTATACTCGTTGATAACTATTTGTTTTTTGCTTTATATTAAAGAAATTTACGTGTTCTGACTTATACCATCGTCATTTCCATAGATTATGGGTGTCTTGACCAACTTTGACTTTCTGGATGATGTATCTATTGACAGCAATGATGAGAGTGGTTTTGTTATGTGGCCAGTAGAGAACCTTGAAGCACAGTCCATTGATAAAGGGATGCTACAAACCAATTCTTTCTCTGGWAGTGATCTTGACCTAACCACACCTCATGAATCATCAGATGAAGACGACGAGGTATGAAATAGTCGTGTCACAAATACATCGCGTTATCGTACGTCTATAAATGTTAATCCAGGGTCAACTCCAGCAGGATTTAACCCAGGATTAGCTCTTGTCGAACTTTGAACAATCCAGCCCAGGACCGTGTCTAGAGGAAGCACAGGGTGCACATGCAACTCCTCATGGCACATTTGACAGCAAATTTTGAGTGTAATTTATTGATTTCTAGGAACAATATTTAAGCTAAGTCCCTGTAGATCATATTGTAGTCGATGCTGTCGCTATTGTTGCTGTCAGTCATTTGTTGCTATGGCTGCTGGTGTTCTACCTGCAGATGTTCTTCTGTTCGTATAGACGGTGTACTTGTTGCTTTGTACCTTAATTTTGTTGCCGTTGTATTATAATAWACACTGATTATTTTATGGTGATTGACAATGATTAGTGATAACGATTGATTGGGATAAGCTATGATACTTCAGATTGTCAATTTGATTGTAATAATTTCATTTGTTTTAGCTGAATCGCTCCATGAATGAAGGYTCRGTGAGTACAACGTGCGCAGCCGTCGAATCAGAATCTGCTGCCGAGTCAGCTGCTGAGTCTGTGGGTGAATTAGAGTCGTCAGTAGACCAGGAGGTTATCATAGAAATATCAAATGAAGGTCCTGAAAGCACAAGGTAATTTTACTCCACAATTAAAGTTGGGAATYGAAACGTYTTGGTTAACATGCCATTTTTTAGTAATRGCATTCATAAGTAGACGATCAGTGATCGTACGGGATGAAATACAACTATGACAAATACCATAGTAACAGCGTCATCATGATTACTATTAAGTGCTATCTTTATCAACATCTCATTTAGCGTATATTAGGCCATTACTATTTCGTTTCTTGTATTTAGCACTGAGTCAGCTGTGGGGACATCGCCCTCAGGTCGAGGAGAGTATCATTTRTACGCTGTGACTGAAGCTCCAAACGCCTCTGATGACGTGGAGTTGCTATGGAMRGACCATATTTCAGCTYTCGTCAAAGATACAACAGGTGTAACCTCTGTTAACACYTACGCATTGTTTTGGTCTTTGTACAAAYSAACTCGACGGAAGTTCTATTCTTTGACAAGGGAATGCTGCAACTACTTGGATGAGAAGTTTCGAGACGTTTCGCAACACTTCTGCAACACATTGGAGTTTCTCGTCGCTCGTGGCGACTGCCCTTATGTGTGTTTYGACACAGAGACACTGAAAAAGAGTCGTTTATTTGACAAGCAAAAGTTTATGATACTGGAATTGCATGATCATTACCTGAACTATGTCACCAATAGCAACAAGACAACTGAATACCTGGACTTCGTTAAGTTAGCCATCAAACGATCTTCTGTTGGATCACATAACGAAGAACCTGATGTATATACACTTGTTGATAAAGTAGCTCTTGATCAACGACAATTGGATCTTTGCCGGTCGTTATACCAGATGCATTTCCAGTTCTTGTTGTTGTGTAGTACCTATTGTCGACTATTGGAAGCACTGGTCAAGGGAGCTCAAGCAGCCAAGGTAACCCTGCACACTTTGATATGATTTTATCTTTAGAGCTCGTTTATTGTGCATAACCGCAAGCATAAATAAAACGGCCTGTGATTATAGTGATTATGACTATGATTATGGGCTGTGAAATGCACTACTTTCTTGTGCACATTCTTTTTCATTCATTTTTTTTTTCTTTTGTTCATTTATTATGTATATGTACTCCCTTTTACTCGGAATATTACTGTATTAGTGTGTAGTACGTCTTCCTAGGATCCCTAAGATAATACAGCATCGGAATCACTGATGGAACTAATTATGTTTCTACAGGTTAATGATTACACTCAGAAAGCCAGTTCAATCAGAGCTGAAATAGTCTCAGTATTGGAGCACCTACCCCAAACAACTGACGAACCTAGCACTCTAACCAATGAACACCTTACACAGGACGCAGCAATACAGCACCTGACGGATAGACTTGTCAACAAAGACGTCGAACAAGCAGTCTACCTATTGAGAACGTTTCGAGATAAATTCGACGGTGAAAGATTCGGGAAATCAGACGATGACAATCTTGACGTTCTGTTGACATTGTTCTGTAGACAAACGGCTGAGAAAGATATTGGCAGCCTCGTTATGTCCAGCCAACCTGCGCAGTTCTCCTGTCTATGTAACGAATTAATGGATGTGAATTTATCTGCTTTAGCAGCTTTAGATGAGCTTGTTTTTCCTTAGTTGTAATTGTTATTTGCTGTTAGWGTCCCTGTGGCATAATTCATGGGAGGGTAAATTGTAAATCTTCATCGAGTGGACGAATAGTTATCTGTAGTAAATATACTTTAATAAAGGCTTATAGGATAAGCCTAATCAGATATATAATTTTGCGACTTTGCAAGAAAAATGTAATAGTATTCAGTAAATTTCCATTATTTATCATTCAGAGTATTTGTACGATTTTCTCAATATTGCTGATAACTTTATGTGTCATGCAGCATGTTTATATGGCATTGTAAAGTATCCATAGACTTTGCTAAATTTATTACTGACAAAATTYAATGCATGATAAATAAAATACATTAAATGCATGCCTTTCCGTGTGTTTTTTTTTTTTTTCTGAAAAGGGCCTCAAAGTTCTAGTGTCGAGTGCAGTGTGCAAATAATCGAAAGCGGGTTTTTGAATTAAATATTGATCTACCAGAACTTTACTCAACCGAATTAACAACAAATACGTCTCCGTGATGACATTGGCGCGGCTTTAGAGAGAGTTCTAAAATCCTTATATCCCGCTACTAAATTACAAAATGTGNAGGTAAGCTCAATTTGCTTTTGTTTAATTTTAACTTTTTATTTAATTATTTTAATTTTATTGTTTATCTTTTACTTTCACAAATCAGATGTCAACATTATAATATTGTTGTTTTGTCCCTGTTTTTCTTRAATATTTGTGCTTTCTTTGCTTTCCTTTGTCAAATGTTAACCAATACTCTTTTGTTTRCAGGGGAATTACTGGAAAGAGTCCCTCGAGATTCTCAAAATAGCCGTCTCGAACTCCTCTAATCTGGACACCCCGCCTCCACGACCAAAAAGTACTATATGGTCGAGTTATGACAGTAGTTGGGCTATCGACGCACTTCCTGTCAAGAAAGAACTACCAGGTCGAACACTAGAGTTCACGTACGATCTGTCATCTGTTCCTGTGATAGGWACTAAAAGTACAATAGAAAACAACGCTGAACAGGCCAAGATAACACCTGATATTCCTTCTCCTAGAAAACCCAACACATCTCAGGTACTATTATGGTTTCTGTATGATATCTATMACCGKAGTGAYCGTAAATTAATGGCTGGAATATTGCAGAYGCTCATTTAATCGATCGTTGATCATTGCGCATGCTCATGTATGATTTCTAATCCAATCCCACATGGCTTAGTGCCTAATTTACTCTCAGCATGCCAACTAGCTGTTGTCTGATCTATATTTATCTTCTGATGTAATACTTTCAGCGACGAACACGCGAACGTCTCGTCCACGTCCTACAAACATGTGGTCACACGGTTGGCTTGAAGCAAAGTCCATCTGTTGTTTTTAGCTCATCGAGTGACTTGGCTGTTGAAAAACCTACTGATCACCAGTCATCTAATGAAGACGTTAACAATGAATCTCGTAAAGAGGATCAGGTACGTACATTGTAGATGGTTTCATCAACCTGACGAGCGGTGTGAAAGAGCCTATTGTGACAATTTCACTTAGTACTTTTATTAGGTATCTATTAGAGACACTATTTCGGTTATAAAAAAAAATGGAATATGAGGGGACCAGTTTAAGAAAGCAGTTGAAGAGAACAGTCAGACAGTACGCAGAAGCGAGCGCTATATTATTATGAGAGTAAAACCTCATTCAATTATGGTAGATGAAAAACTCTTGAGTTTCTTACAGTAACAAACATGTAGTTTAAAAATAAACTGAGGACTTCAATAATAACAGTACCATTATACTCGTTGATAACTATTTGTTTTTTGCTTTATATTAAAGAAATTTACGTGTTCTGACTTATACCATCGTCATTTCCATAGATTATGGGTGTCTTGACCAACTTTGACTTTCTGGATGATGTATCTATTGACAGCAATGATGAGAGTGGTTTTGTTATGTGGCCAGTAGAGAACCTTGAAGCACAGTCCATTGATAAAGGGATGCTACAAACCAATTCTTTCTCTGGAAGTGATCTTGACCTAACCACACCTCATGAATCATCAGATGAAGACGACGAGGTATGAAATAGTCGTGTCACAAATACATCGCGTTATCGTACGTCTATAAATGTTAATCCAGGGTCAACTCCAGCAGGATTTAACCCAGGATTAGCTCTTGTCGAACTTTGAACAATCCAGCCCAGGACCGTGTCTAGAGGAAGCACAGGGTGCACATGCAACTCCTCATGGCACATTTGACAGCAAATTTTGAGTGTAATTTATTGATTTCTAGGAACAATATTTAAGCTAAGTCCCTGTAGATCATATTGTAGTCGATGCTGTCGCTATTGTTGCTGTCAGTCATTTGTTGCTATGGCTGCTGGTGTTCTACCTGCAGATGTTCTTCTGTTCGTATAGACGGTGTACTTGTTGCTTTGTACCTTAATTTTGTTGCCGTTGTATTATAATAAACACTGATTATTTTATGGTGATTGACAATGATTAGTGATAACGATTGATTGGGATAAGCTATGATACTTCAGATTGTCAATGTAATTGTAATAATTTCATTTGTTTTAGCTGAATCGCTCCATGAATGAAGGYTCRGTGAGTACAACGTGCGCAGCCGTCGAATCAGAATCTGCTGCCGAGTCAGCTGCTGAGTCTGTGGGTGAATTAGAGTCGTCAGTAGACCAGGAGGTTATCATAGAAATATCAAATGAAGGTCCTGAAAGCACAAGGTAATTTTACTCCACAATTAAAGTTGGGAATYGAAACGTYTTGGTTAACATGCCATTTTTTAGTAATRGCATTCATAAGTAGACGATCAGTGATCGTACGGGATGAAATACAACTATGACAAATACCATAGTAACAGCGTCATCATGATTACTATTAAGTGCTATCTTTATCAACATCTCATTTAGCGTATATTAGGCCATTACTATTTCGTTTCTTGTATTTAGCACTGAGTCAGCTGTGGGGACATCGCCCTCAGGTCGAGGAGAGTATCATTTRTACGCTGTGACTGAAGCTCCAAACGCCTCTGATGACGTGGAGTTGCTATGGAMRGACCATATTTCAGCTYTCGTCAAAGATACAACAGGTGTAACCTCTGTTAACACYTACGCATTGTTTTGGTCTTTGTACAAAYSAACTCGACGGAAGTTCTATTCTTTGACAAGGGAATGCTGCAACTACTTGGATGAGAAGTTTCGAGACGTTTCGCAACACTTCTGCAACACATTGGAGTTTCTCGTCGCTCGTGGCGACTGCCCTTATGTGTGTTTYGACACAGAGACACTGAAAAAGAGTCGTTTATTTGACAAGCAAAAGTTTATGATACTGGAATTGCATGATCATTACCTGAACTATGTCACCAATAGCAACAAGACAACTGAATACCTGGACTTCGTTAAGTTAGCCATCAAACGATCTTCTGTTGGATCACATAACGAAGAACCTGATGTATATACACTTGTTGATAAAGTAGCTCTTGATCAACGACAATTGGATCTTTGCCGGTCGTTATACCAGATGCATTTCCAGTTCTTGTTGTTGTGTAGTACCTATTGTCGACTATTGGAAGCACTGGTCAAGGGAGCTCAAGCAGCCAAGGTAACCCTGCACACTTTGATATGATTTTATCTTTAGAGCTCGTTTATTGTGCATAACCGCAAGCATAAATAAAACGGCCTGTGATTATAGTGATTATGACTATGATTATGGGCTGTGAAATGCACTACTTTCTTGTGCACATTCTTTTTCATTCATTTTTTTTTTCTTTTGTTCATTTATTATGTATATGTACTCCCTTTTACTCGGAATATTACTGTATTAGTGTGTAGTACGTCTTCCTAGGATCCCTAAGATAATACAGCATCGGAATCACTGATGGAACTAATTATGTTTCTACAGGTTAATGATTACACTCAGAAAGCCAGTTCAATCAGAGCTGAAATAGTCTCAGTATTGGAGCACCTACCCCAAACAACTGACGAACCTAGCACTCTAACCAATGAACACCTTACACAGGACGCAGCAATACAGCACCTGACGGATAGACTTGTCAACAAAGACGTCGAACAAGCAGTCTACCTATTGAGAACGTTTCGAGATAAATTCGACGGTGAAAGATTCGGGAAATCAGACGATGACAATCTTGACGTTCTGTTGACATTGTTCTGTAGACAAACGGCTGAGAAAGATATTGGCAGCCTCGTTATGTCCAGCCAACCTGCGCAGTTCTCCTGTCTATGTAACGAATTAATGGATGTGAATTTATCTGCTTTAGCAGCTTTAGATGAGCTTGTTTTTCCTTAGTTGTAATTGTTATTTGCTGTTAGTGTCCCTGTGGCATAATTCATGGGAGGGTAAATTGTAAATCTTCATCGAGTGGACGAATAGTTATCTGTAGTAAATATACTTTAATAAAGGCTTATAGGATAAGCCTAATCAGATATATAATTTTGCGACTTTGCAAGAAAAATGTAATAGTATTCAGTAAATTTCCATTATTTATCATTCAGAGTATTTGTACGATTTTCTCAATATTGCTGATAACTTTATGTGTCATGCAGCATGTTTATATGGCATTGTAAAGTATCCATAGACTTTGCTAAATTTATTACTGACAAAATTGAATGCATGATAAATAAAATACATTAAATGCATGCCTTTCCGTGCAGTGTTTTTTTTTCTGAAAAGGGCCTCAAAGTTCTAGTGTCGAGTGTAGTGTGCAAATAATCGAAAGCGGGTTTTTGAATTAAATATTGATCTACCAGAACTTTACTCAACCGAATTAACAACAAATACGTCTCCGTGATGACATTGGCGCGGCTTTAGAGAGAGTTCTAAAATCCTTATATCCCGCTACTAAATTACAAAATGTGTCTTCTCTCGAAAAGGAACTGTTATCTCTGCTGTGTACCGCAACAATCGAAAAGCGGAACTGATTACGGTGCACGAAGGAAAATTGAATACCATTACTCGATAAAAATCGTTTGCCCTTCCAATCCACTCTTCAGTCACACCTACTTCTTCATTCATTTTTCTTTCTTTTTCTTTTTTTCTTTATTCTCGCTCAGCCGCTCCCTATTTCACTAATCAGTCCCTCTCTTATTCGACTCCTAATGCCGTTAGTAGGTGTGTCTCGGGTTGGTTTTAGTCATGGCTAACGCAATGCTTTACCCGCTTTGCACATCGTAGTTGCTGCCCTTATCTTTCTCAGCTCACCGAGTTTAAGTCAATCACATCACCAGTTTGCTACAATTATCAAAGCTAGTAGGTTAGTGTTTTGCGCAAAACGCCATTCCACCGGTACCGCACCTGCGGGGTTGACTTCCCTCGTTCTAAGCCTGACATTTTATGCAGTGTAGCAGCCAGTGATTTCAGTGCGTATTTTCTCATAAGTACGTAACATTTAAGTAACGATACCTATTTTAGCTTTTTTTAAAAAGACTTTGGTCACCTAGATCTGTAATATGAACGATTGGACAGCGGCTGTAGCCGTACAAGTAGCGTCTCCTTGATGCATTCAACTTGAAAAAATATAAATCTCAGGTGGAAAACAAGTAAAGTATAAATAGATGTACGGAAAAAAAGAAAGAAAAAAAGAAAGGAAAAAAGATCGAAAAACCAATAACAAATAAAAAAGGAAAAAATAGTATTCCCCCGGTAGGGCTCGAACTCAGTCACTTGACGTAAGTTGGGGATGCACCCCCCGGATATATATAGAAATAATGAAAATCAAAAAAAAGAAAAAGATGGGACGATTCCCCCGAGACATTCTGTGAAGCTGAGGCGTCGAATCGGCTTACGTTACGGTTAGAGATTTCGGCTCTTCCACGCTATCCCGAGTGKACATAAAACTTAGTCTTAACCAAAAGGCCAGGGATTGAGGAGGTAGCCGCCCACTAGAGCATACCTTTAGCTACCCTCTTAGACCATCGTACTATGAAGTCACTGATAGATATCTAATACCTAATCGGGATAGACTATTCGGTGAAGTTCTATGCTAATATATGACGTCACCATAATCCTTAGGGAGTACCGAGCCAATCAGAGCTCAGCTCCTCCAGAATTAACATACAGTTTTGGCCAGACACTCTTCGGCACTGCCCTTCAGTGGATATATTATTTGATAGGGGGAGGGGAGGGGAGAATATAAGGCCAGTAACAAATGAACATCTGTCTGTCTGTCTGAGTACCTCAATTATGAGCAGCCTGGGCACTAGTGTAGCAAATCTAACATGGCGGGATGTAGTTTCTTGTTGACAAAATTCAATCAGTCTTTATCAGGCTTTTTAACATGATGAGGAGCAAACATAGATACTAATAACTTTTAAAAAAGCACATATCATGTCAGTTCGTAAGAAACTGAAGAAAGCAGATAGAAGGTAAGTCGTAGAATACGAATTCTCTTGGTTGACGTCCAAGTTTGTTTTGTCATACAAATGTCACAGCTGTATGATTTCGTTAGCAGTGATGCTCATGTAGAAATATCTTACCATTAACGAAGAAAAGTACTCCTTTCTTTCTCTTAGAATTTTTGAGAATTCTATTGAAGGATGAATTTTCCGTGACCTTAAAAAACATGAGCTTAATTTTAGCTTTAAGCTTAATTCTTATTAAAGCTCACTTTATACAGAAAATTGTAAATCTTAACTCTATCTTATCTTTTTTTTTGCTAAGTGAATTAAGTCAAAAATGAATTTATTCTGCTCCTAGTCGGCATMATTTGATTTTAACTATTATTACCCCAACAGAGTTTATACATTTTTTATGAAAATTCGAACTACTTATCTTATAGCGCAAGTGGTAGTGAAAAAGTGGTTGGCACACATTTGTATGTAGAAATTAATGCATCCCAGTGGCCTATAGTCTACTCTCCTAGCTATAATATTGGATTTCTTGGACTTGAAAAGCTTCATCCATTTGACTCTGGGAAATGGGGACGTGTTTTTGAATTTTTAAAAGGTTGGTAACTATGGTGTTTATACAGAAAGGAAAAAGAAATGCTAATAAGAATGAATGGAATGACATGGATTCTAATAACTTCAACCCCTTATAATTTTCAATATATTCCAGTAATTATTTTTAAATGACTATGATGAAAAAGAAAAAAATGTTGGATAATCAAAACACCATATCAATTCCTCATTAAATGTTCACAGAAGGTAAACTAATAAATGTGGAGGAAAATCAGCAAACTGTTGAACCAAGAGAGCCAACCACAGAGGACTTGATGGTAGTTCACACTAAAAAATATCTGGACAGTTTAAAGGTTTGTAAGAATAAAAAATATTAGGATGGGTAGGAAATGGAAGGGAAATATCTATAGGAACAAGTTAGATAAAATATATTGATTTCATTTAACTGGAATATTAAGTAATTCCATTTGTAACAAGAATTTCTACCTTATAATATTTTTTGGTTTCAGTGGAGTGTGGTTGTTGCTCAGATTTGTGAAGTTCCCCCAGTAGCTTTTCTTCCTAATATTGTTGTCCAACATAAACTACTTAAACCTTTGAGACTTCAAACAGGAGGAACTATACTGGTGAGTCTGTAAGATATCAGGAGAAATAAAATATATCCATATGCAGTGGTTACAGACAATTTTGATATCATTGTACCAGGCTTTAGTTGATGCAGCAAAGAGTACCTAATACCCAAAGTCATATTTGGTACCAATTTAGTTTCATTGCATTTGATCTCCCTGTCTAATATTATATTCCAGATGGAAATAACAATGTTGTTATTTTATAGGCAGCTAGGTTAGCAGTAGAAAGAGGCTGGGCTATAAATATTGGTATGCATTCGTAAGAAATATGTTATTTTGTTTCATGGTTGTTGGTTGTCTTTGTTGTTGGATGACATATTTGATTGTATTTTAGGTGGTGGATTTCATCACTGTTCATCTAGTAGTGGGGGAGGTTTTTGTGCTTATGCTGACATTACACTTGCTATCAAGGTATCTTATATTGAATGAGAAATTGATATTAATTGTATATGATATGTTATATAATATTATTTAACAAGACAACCAATACTAAGAATGATACTTAATTTTCTGTTTACCACACATAACTATTATACTTAAACCAGTCTATCAAAGGTTGAATGATTATTCCTCTCAATCAGTAGTACATTTATATGGAGCATTACAGTGTTAATTTATTGTATTTGTTGTGATTAAAATTATTTATTTTGTACTATATAGTTTCTATTCCAGAATGTGGAAAGTATCAAAAAGGCCATGATCATTGATCTGGATGCTCATCAGGTTAGCATCATTTATTATCATCATTTGTACTGTTCTGGGGTCTTTATGAGATCTAAAGACAATGGGGAGGTTTCATGTGTTTAAAAATGTTTTATCAAAAGCACAGACGATCTGCAAAGGTGCTTTGCAAAGATGTGATTGAATTCCATGAAAGCAAGGCCACAATGTGTGGCTAATGTTAATTATGATCAATGATATATGTGGACACAATTGTTAGTTGTTTTGTTTGAAATATAACGAGATAAATGTATTTGAAAAATGAAGATGTTTTTATTTACTACTTCTCAGGGTAATGGACATGAACTTGACTTCATGAATGATCAATGTGTATATATCATGGATGTCTACAATGCTTATATTTATCCTGGTGCAATGAGAGCCAGAAGTAAGTCCACCATTTGCTCAATCAGTAGCTTTTTTATAGCTGAACTATGTTAGCCTGCATTGGATTTGAAAAAAAAAAAAATTGTTTTCATGTGAATCAGTTTCCAAATCATGTGCTGTATTATTTACCACATGAATCTTCACACATTTTCCTCAAAATACAAAAACAACATCATAAAGCTGAACTTTGAACAACAGATCTTTTTTTAAAACAATACAACTGATTGCAAATGTTCTCAGATTTGCCCTTTACTGACATTTTTTATCTCTAATTCTAGGAGCCATACGAAGGAATATTGAACTCAATCATTACACAAAAGATGAGGAGTATTTGTCTCTTATTAAAAAGTAATTATGTAAAAAAAAATTATTTTGTGCACTACCGGTATGTGTATCTGATTTTTAAATTGTCATCTACATGCATGCAAAAACAAACATCTCTCATGAGGATTCTTTGTGATTTTAGCTTATTTTTAACTAAATGAATTGTTATAATCAGGCATATACCAGAGGCTCTTGATGAATTTTCTCCTGATATCATCATATACAATGCCGGTACTGATGTACTGGAGGGTGATCCACTTGGTAATTTGTCCATTACATCAAAGGTACAGTAGACTGAGTTAAATGATTTTTTCCTATGTTTTCTCTATTGATAATCATAGCTAGACAGGATTGAGGAAACGTGTCCTTAGCATAATGGCATGCATATTGTTACAATCATAATGTTTGCTATAAATAATAATGATAATTTTTTAATAAAGTTAGCTGAAGATCATTGTATTGCTGTTTTTGTGTTTGCAGGGTATAATAGAAAGAGATCAAATTGTATTCCAGGAAGCAAGAAATAAGTCAATACCAGTAGTCATGGTTACATCGGGAGGATACCAGGTCACTATAGACACATTTTATCATTCTAAATTCAACAGTTTTCAACTTTTAGATGCTCACGTTTATTGCAAAATTTTCTTTTATGATATTTATAATTTGAATTATAGAAAAAGACAGCCAGAATAATTGCAGATTCCATTCTGAACTTGCATGAAATGGGGCTGATAAGTTGTAATTATTCAGAATCAGGTAGGACATTTTTAGTGAGCATTAATTGTTTACTAAGTGATTTGTACTGCGTCATCACTATTTCCATTTAATGATAGCTGTTTCCTTTTTTATTTATTTTCTTATTTTTAGGTCCGTTATCTGCGACCAAAGCTGAATCATCATCAAATTACAATACATTCAATAGTGCCCAATGACAAATTCATTTACTGTAAGAGAACTGTCATTTGTCAATTGTACTTCTAGTAAGTGGTCTGAAAAAAGAAATCATCATTATATTATACTACTGGTATTCTAAGTAGCACATGAAAGTGTATAATAAGAGAGTTGCAGTTAAGGCTGGAGAAAAATCATTATTATGACTGTGGTTGCAGTTTTCAAGTGGTAATACATTGGTCATTACATATTCATGTAAAGCAAGAATATATAGGCATTTCAGATGACTCTTGGAAATACAAAAAATAATAGCAGCCCTGATTATTTACTGGGATCTTGACCAAGTGGCATGAAGAGAGTTATAAGTCTTTCAGTGCTGGCTAGGACACTGGTGAAAGCTCAAAAAGAACCAGTTGTATTTTGCTCTCAGCAAAATATATTTTATTGATAATATAAATATTAGTTAAWATGAATAATAAATGCAAGCCAATAGGTAACCAGGATGACTGTTCCTTTCTGATGTATTATACTCTCCTCCCCTAGAGCTACCAGCAACATAGGAATCCCGTTTCATCAATCATGATTCAATGTACAAATTTACACAGGCCAGGCTAGGTGTCTTGTAGTATTGGTATGTACCAAGATTACTAWAACAAGTAAACTTAACCAACTTCAATTGTGTTGGCTATCTTGTTAATTGTGCTATATAGTTATRAGTTTTATCCTGGAAAGTCATATTTTTTAAGTTATTAACAATGTTAGACATAGTCTCAGTTTGCTCGCTACTCATGGAACTATTAAAACATGTCATCTGAGTACATCTATTGCAGTTATAGTCCTATTGTAACAATCAAGTACATGTATGGGTTAGATATGTAGTTGTTTTTATAAGATGTA